CCCCAGTGAATCCTCCCATCCGCGAATGAAAGTAAAAAAAACCGTCGAACTTCACGCCTGGAATTACAATAGTGGGGGGACAAAATGGAAGCGCGCTCCAGAATAGTTCTGGTGACAACTTTTGAATTCACATGAGAATTTTGTCCGCTCAATTTGGGTATGCCTAAGAACAGGTTTTCTGAAAAAAAACATACAAGTTGGTTGATTATAGCGTTTGTGGAGACAGAATGGAATATTATAGTGATAGAGATAGGACAGGCCGCTACTACTTTGACATTGGATCCATTTGCAAGATTTGTGTGGCGCCTGGACTAGTAAGGACGTAGGATTGTGAAGAGTAATAATAAAAGTACGCTAGCCGGGGAGGTAGAGGAGGTGGAGCGCTTTTCGAAAGAGCTTTTGCGTGATCGAGCAAGCACGTGCATGGACTACCACACTAACGTTCAATTTTTCTAAACGCCTCTGGACGTCTAAGGGAACTGATCCTCACAATTTCGACCAGTTACTGAGTGGTGGGTCCTTATTAAGGGATTATTGAAGTTGAGAAGGAAAAAAGCCGTGATTGGGGTCTTAACTGTGTCACCTGTCAAGAGCCAACGGTTTCTAAGAATGGTATGTTCACCGTATGGAGCTGCATGTGCCGTCAGATATAGAGAGCCTAGTGGATGGCGTGGGAGATTCTCGTTCTGGCAGTGATGATGGGGTTTATGGTTCAGTTCACCGCAGACTGCGACTTTTTGCACGTTAATGTTTCGCTGTTCTCGCATCCATGTATGTCTGTGCATGAAATTCACTTTACCATATGGACCAAATCATTCTCAATGGTGGTACCCGGGTATGTGGCAAGAGAATCGTAATTCGCCGCGCCAGTGGGCATCGCGTGCGACGTCGCGCCCGCTAATGACGACGATTTTAGGTGGTATTGTCGAGAATAGGCAATGTACGACACCATGTCTTTATCGTGCGATCAAAGAGATGTCGCGCGCTGTGCGATCGAGCGGCCATTTTACGGTTGTTGCTGCTCGTCTCGTGTACCACATGTCTATGCTAGTCATCCATTACGCGTTTCAACTACATTAACCGATTTTGTTGAAGTTTATCTTTATGAGCGTAATCAGTGTCTGATCATGATCAATGCAATTACTTCTACGCTAGAGGCCAATCTGAAGCCTAACTTCTCAAATGAAATTGGCCACACTCATATAAGGACGTTTCAGCACTTTCTGTCGCTGAATTAAGTCGCAGTCAAAAATAGGAGTAATTCATGCCCCGCATTCGATCACCGAGCTTCTTCCAAACAGAAAATTTCTTCTCGCCTTATCTATGGCTAGGAATTGACTTATATAGCAATGCTTACTCTGACCTGATAACTTGATTAAACATATCAAAAATTGAACAAAAACAATACAAGAATGTATAAAACAGTCATCACATAAAGAAGTAAAGAATATGAAATGCGAGGAGCCGAACTTTCCGTCATCAACTATGTCCTGCTTGTCCTACTCCAGCAAGGTGCTTCGCAGATTAGATGGTTCCCCATTTTTCTGAGATGGAGTAATCAGTTCATGTTTGTTGGGTCTATGAACAGCGTGGTACGCCATCACTGTGCATCATACAGGAGGGGGGGTCGTATTTTGTCAGTTCACGGACGCACTACTATTTCCGACACTTGAAAATGATAGTTTAATTCTGACGACCTCCCCCCCCCCCCGCCCGCTCGACGGCTCGGTTCGATGAGGAAAGACAGAGGCTGGCGAGGGAAGGGCCGTACCAGTTGTCAAAAACTGGGGTCGCTATTTTGAGATTATGGGGGGTGTATTCCGAGAATATCACACCGCGATGGGTGCCCTTCTATGAAAGCCAGGCACATAAGATCTAGTTATCTCTTCTCATCTCCAGACTTACTTGTGCAAGCCAATAATTTCCGCATGAAAACCATTATTTCGAATGAACGTTGAGTGCATAGAAGTTCGCTCAGGAACAATTTCCTTTCCTGGTGTGTTGCATAGTTTCTGAGGGTCAAAGCTAGCATAGGGGCATAGTTTATTTTATAGTATCGATTCCAGAAACGAACGACGTTCATGCTGAATGTCCATGTTTATATTATGTTCCAATTGAGCCGTAAATTTTATTGCGCCATAGTGTCAAGTGCTCCATAGGCGGGGTGAACCCGCGTCATTAGGGGGTTAGTCGGCCCTCATTTGAGAGCAATTCATGCCAGGAAAGCAACAAGGTCGCCGTTCATTGTGAATGCGATTCTACTATGGCGTTGATTATGGGCATGCATTGATGAGGGCAAGGGTAGAGTTCCTGTTATTATGGGGGAATCGTAGTGTCGCGCAAAGATACCAGTTCATCTTGTTCCGATTTCCGACTCCCGGTAAGACCGAGAAAATTATTTCGATGATTCTCAGTTCAGTTTCGGTAAATAAATGTTCGACTGGTTAGGCGTCGAACACTCGACGGCCAAAAATAAGCAAAAGCGGTTAAGTGTGTAGACTGCGACACTGCCCTATCTCAACGTGGGTTATATTCGAGTCGTTTCGGGAAGGTATATAGGGTAGAGTGGTACGCACAAGTCAGAAAAATTAAGGAATGTTTGGAATGGAGAGAACGAGGATTTCTATCTTTTGTGGTATGGTACTATACCTGCCGACAGGTCCCTATGTTACTTTGAGGCTGGAAAACGAGAAAATTGAAGGTCGGGGAAACAGGTGAGATAAAGAAGTAAGCGGCATTGGACTGTCAGAAGCGCTTGTACATGAGAAGGCGGGGGGAGGGGGTCATATCGAACGACCGGCTCTCCTAGTAATTTAACAGATTCGCCTTTGTGAAGCTACGGAGGAACAATTTCCCAATTTATGCAATTTACTTTCTCTTCAAATCTGTACTGTTCAGATTAGAACACTGCCGTTTCCTTTTTTATTAGGTTGTCCGGAAAGTTCTCAGCGTTTTGAGTGTTTCACTTTAACGATCATAACTTTCTTAATACTCATCGGATTTAATCGAAATAAGCACCGTTCGAATCAGCACACTTTTGCCAATGTGACACCAGTCGATAAATCCCATCAAAGAAAAAACTGGGTGGTCGAGAATCCACGAAGAAGGCTTTTTTGCCTGGTCCTGATTGATGAAGTATTTTCCAGCAAGGAAGTTCTGAAAATGTTTGAAAAGGTGATAGTCGGTTGGTGAAAGGTCTGGAGAATATGGCGCGGTGAGGTAGAACTTCAACCCCCAATTCGTTCAATTATGATATGATTTGTGAAACGTGTTGGGCGTGCGTTGTATGCATAAGAGATCGGTACCCTTCTGTATGACAAGTTCTGGCTACTGCAGCTGCGAACGCAATTTCGGGGTATATTCGCTGGCGGTTTCTCACAGTAGGACTCTGCTGTGATGGTTTGGCCTGGTGATAAAAAGTTATAGTGGATCACACCAGCCGATGACCACCAAGCCGTGACCAGAATCTTTTTTTCGTGAGGATTCGGCTTTTGAAAGATTGCCAGTCGTTGTTTTCGTTTCAGTCAATCCAGTACCAGCTCTGCCCGTACCGTCCTTCGTGTTTATTTCATATTTCGATGATCTTGTTCTGTGTGCATTCAATCAGCGTGATCATATGTGCGGGTTCAAAAATACGGGTGCGTCGTTTCGCATGAAGCAGTTTTGATAGAAGTTAACCTCGAACGTGTTCCAAATTTCTCGTTCGCACTTTCAATATTGTTGGGTGCATTTCGCAACCTGTCCGAGTTTTTTCTACGCTCTAGCAGTGTCGTTTTCAAGACCGTGCCGCAACGATGCCAGTGAAGTGGATGTGGCCAAGCCTAGCTTTTCTGCAGTCTCTCGAACTGTTTGGGATGGGTCAGCCTCCACAAACGCCTTCAAATCCTCGTCAGATATTGCTTTAGGTCGACCGCTATGAGGTTCATCTTCAAGGCTGAAATCTCCAGAACGAAATTTGTTGAACCATTGCCGCACAGTGCTTTCTCTAGCACTATTGGGCCCCCACACCTGGTTAATTTGTTGAGCTGTTTCGATTGCGGATTGCCCCAATTTATAGTCGAAGAAAAAAATCGTCCGAAGTGCTCTTTTCACATGCTTGAAAAAAGGGGGTTCATCAAGCAATGGTGAAACGGCAGTTATACCATCAGATAGCGCAAAGAATTCTCTTCAGGATGTACTACTGAGACGCAAGGGAGAATGAGTTTTTAATCAGCAATGAATGTACAAAAAATAGTAACACAAAACGCTGAGAACTTTCCGGACAACCTGCATAATACTAATCGGATATGTGAACCCCATTATTTCAGATCGAGGTCGAGACGATTTCCGGGCAGCTGGTGGTGACACGAGTAAACGCGGCTGCAAATCATGATATCCATCCAGGCGATACTATCACCCATGTCAACGGAAGACCTACCATGGACCGAAGTTCGATTAGCGGTCTGAATGGTCGAATAACGCTTACCTTGGTCCCAGCTGCTATTCACGGTGCCCCTTCGGTAGGTTCAACAGTTCACTATAACAGTTTGTCTAACAATGTCTAAAGCACAGTATTGTGCAGCCCCACAGCCTCACCATGATCTGAAACGAAGTGACAATTCAGAATTTTTACGCCAAAAAACCAGAAGGACGAGAAGATCCAAAAAATGAAAAAATGCTCTGAATGACATTTTCTTCTTTGAACTCTTGAGCTTTGGATCAGATATTTTGGAGCCTTTCCTTTATTATTAGTTTACTATTATTATTTCACTTTTTATTTTGTTATCACACATTAAAATGATTAAACCATTCAATTCAGGTCTTCTACCGGGTCAATGCTGACTATAATTCGGATATGGATGACTCAAGAATATGCCGTTGGTTGTCGATTGATGTGAAGAAAGGCGATGTTGTACAGATAATGAGCCAGGATGATAATTGGATCCAGGTGTGTTTGAAATCTTCATACTACTTGTGGAGGGTAACCAGAA